TCATCATTGTTTACTCAGCCAAGACTCTTGTTATCTTTGAAATGCAATTGAAGACATTAGAATATAAGATTTCTGTCCCTTGAATGACGGTCCACGCAACTACCACTTTGATACTTCATAACTTTCATAAAGAGATCTAATCCATAAAGAGAACTAATCCATACGTATCGTGGTTTAGTCCAAATTTTCTGTTTTTCTGTTTATGTTCCCTGATCAATGTTTAAATGTGAAAAAAAATTCAATCTGTTCATTGTAAAGCAATCGAGTCTCTTCAGAAAATTTAGACTAAACCACTCGATTCATTTGGATTAGTTTTATGATCTCTTTATGAATTTCTTGAAGTATCAAAGTGGTAGTTGTGTAGATTGTCGATGGAAGGACATTTTCTCATTTAAAATGTCTTCATTTGTGTTTTGAAAATGAATGCAAGTCTTGCAGGTTTGGAATGACAGAGAGTGAGAAATAATGACAATTTTTCATTTTTGGGTCAACTAACCATTTATCTTTTTGTAGTTTGATATCTTAAATTAATTAGAAAATTCCAGGTGTGAACATAAGCAGATATTGTGTGCCTGCCCAGTTAAACTTTAATTTTTCATATTAATTTGTGCATTTTAAATTTGTACTGCACATAGAATAACATATAAATGACACATATTTCAGTAATTTAATGTACTGTAAATATGGTAAAATAATTGTGATTACCCCTAATTTTGAGTATGCTGAGAACTGTCTATAATACAGGTGTCAAATCGTAAACTTATTATTATTATTTTTTTTTTAACAAACTTCATTCGAGGGTCATTTAAATGAAACATTGTGCAATATTCACATGGAGGCCTGAAACAATTTAAGTATTTAATCTGATTATTAAATACATTTGTATAATTTTAATGAGTAACATGAGTAATAAGGCATCTTAAAATGAACAGTGTACAACATTAGAATAAATTAACACGTGTTAAGAACTTATCTTACTATTAATTTATTATTTATAGGGTTAGGGTTAGGAATTTCTAGGTATCTAGAAATACATTCTCTGTTTCAGTACCCGCCATCAGGACCCAACACGGACACACACAGCACACCCAACCGAAAACATCTTCCTGCACCCCTGCCCACCATTGATTACAAACAGGCTAGAAATGTAAGTGGTTGTACAGTTCATGGCCAATTCGACAGTAAGTTTCTTTGTCAATCTCTGAGACTACTTATTCAGATTCAGAATGCAAACTATCAATGTGGAAATTGTGCGCAGTCTAACAACATTATTATTTTAACATTATTATTATTTATTTATTTATTTGTTACAATACTGACAAACAGGCAAATACAAAAGTGTGCATTATTATATTCATGAACACACACAAAAGAGTATGTATGGCTGGTTTGTAATAACATAGTTAGCATGCCCTAGTTTGACTCACAACAACAAACGGTCCTTTGATTTCATTCTTCCTCTTGCTTTGTGTTTGAACTGTCTTTCAGAAAGACTCTTTCTACTTGATTTTCGCTTTGTCCTGTCACTGTTGAAGAAAGCAGCAGAAACAGAAAAGGAGAAACATGAAATAGCTGGCCATAACAGCTGAAAGCTGAACTGATTCTGTGCTGTGGTTTATTTGCAATCAGACTGCAATAATTCAACGTTTTATTTTTCGACTTCTACATTAGCTTCTTTAATGATATAGACATGCTCCACAAACTCTTACTTGTCACTGAAACGTCTAATGACATTCCTAATAACAGTGTATTTTGTTCACTTGGTTTCCCACATTCAGTGATTCAAAAGTGTTGTGATTTTATAATGTATTTATTTAAGAAGAACAAAAGGGCAGACTTTATTTGCTTTTTGCAAACATTCATTGGTAAACTGGTATTTCCCCACTAGCATGCACACTGTCAATCGGTTTAGATTAAACATTGATAAAGTGGCACTATGTACTACATGTATTTATACTAAAAAGTTATACTAAAAAAACAACAACAAAAAAAAAATATATATATATATACTAAAAGTATGTTGTCAGGCGTAGTTAATAGGTTATGCCTGGTGTCCATCCTAATGTATAAACATTTACTGACACCAAATTATCTCTTGAAACTCTTTTGAGCTTTTATCATATTTAATTTTTTTTACCACCACATTTGTACTCTAGTTGCACAAGGTGGAATAACTGACAAAGCCAAACAAAACAATATCCAATGAGAAAAAACTAAAATGGTTGTAGTAGAGTGATTGTAAGAGTTTAGTTTGCATTGTATGTTTTGCACTGGCTTATTTTCACTGCAAAAGAAAATGTATTTAAATGAGAAAGTGGTCTGTTGTTTCCCTTTTTGGCTGTTATGCAATGTCATTGTGTTTGGACTGTGTGTACGAGTGTTGAAAGCAGAATTTCCACAGAATTTCCACATGACTCCAGCCACAATATAAAACCTCACAGTTAAATGTTCCTACCAGATTGAGGACGACAGCAGAGAAGATCTGAAAACAAACATTTACAGGACTATGAGACTTTACATCCTTTTCAGTTTTCTGCTTTTGGCTGGTAGGAAATTACAATTTAATTGAAAAATGGACATTGGCTTTATTCTAGAAAATGTTCTTTAAGCCTAAAAAATGATTCCCTTCAATTTTATCCTACAACTTAACTTGTAAATGCTGCTTATAAGTAAATAAAAAGAAGAAGCACAAATCTATGGCATGAATGAAGCATAATTCATGTTCTAAATTCACATTTAATGTGTTTAAGGTTAAATGAAATACAGGAAACATTTTCTCGCAAACAAGAATGAGTATTACAATGAGTTTTATTGTTACCATTATAAGATTTGCTAAAATTTACTAATGCTTTATGGTGTGTCATTACAAACATTGCGAAAAGAGTAAACATGCAAAGTAAATATTGCAAAAACAGTTAAACAAAAAACTGTAATTATGCAAATTAAAGTCTCAATGTGTGTCTCTTTTTCAGTGATTTGCAGCTGTCGTGTGGAAGATAGTCAAGGTATGAAATGTAAATGAAGAAAAAGACAAACAGGCAGAGAAATATAAAGACAGACAGAGCATAAAGTAACACAGGAAATTCGTTTCATTTCACAGTGAAATTTGGCCCCCTCTGCAGTGGGAACACAAGTAACCGCAAAAGAGGATGTGATACGAAGTATGGCTGTGGAAACTTTGGGGCCAGCCGGTAAATTGCGTTTTGTTTGTGTTTCCTCTGACTCCACTTATATAGAACTCTATTTCTCAAACAAATGTAGTTTTCTCTGACCTCTCCTCATAGCTCTTCCCAGAAGTCATTGATGACACATTTAGTGGAGGCCGTGTTATGATATATTGATATCATTCTTTTGTTTTGAGTGTGTTACCACACGAACTTGACACTACCCAACAGCCCAACGTTACCAAAGATCTTTAATCTGCGCCATAGACAACATACTAATAAAATCCATCATCATTTACACACCCTCATTTAGTTTTAAATCTGTATCTTGTTATTTTGCAGACAGACCAGGCCTTTTTTTCATACAGTGGAAATTGATGTGTCCTAACATTATTATTCACTGAACGACTGTCACAAGAAACACAACAACAAATAATGTTTGATGACACTGAACTCATATCTAACTTGATACATCGTGTCTGATTGTACGTTAAGATTTGAGAGGTATATCAGAGGGAAAGAAGATTTTGTAAACTTACATTTGATCATGTTGAGTAAATGATGACAGAATGTTTATTTTGGGGTGAAGTATTCTTTTATACATGTTTGTGCTGCAGAGGCGGTGGAAAACGGAAACATGAGGGTCTTGACATTGTGTGTGCTGATGGAGCCACAGTTTATGCTCCATTTGATGTGAAGCTGAACGGCAAAGCTGCACCGTACAAAAAGAACAATGCTATCAATGATGGCATTAACTTGAGCGGAGAAGGTTTGTACTTACATCTTCACATCTGTTTAATGTTCTAAAAGCATTAATAACAATGTAGCACAACTTACTTTTACAGACTTTCATGTTCGTAGAAAATAAAGTGCTTGTTTGATAAAATACAACTATTATAGGACATGTGGAAAAATATTTCTTACATCCAATTCATAATCTCACAATAATCTCAAACCTCCCCACATGATCTTTCTGGCAGGTCTCTGCTTCAAGTTGTTCTATGTTAAGCCGGACAGTTACTCTGGGACCCTGACGAAAGGGCAGAAGATCGGAACTCTGCTCCCAATGCAGAATGTTTATCCTGGAATCACTTCCCATGTTCACGTTCAAATGTGTGACAAATCAGATCCCACCAAGTACTTCTGATGCTGATGGAGCTGATGACCACCTGCAAACCACTTCAGAGTCTTGTGCCATTTATATCAGCTTTCTTTCTGTATGCTGGTGCCCTGCCCTGCCCTTTGCAATCTAATAATAAAGTTGTGAAGACTATTATGTTCTCAGTGTTACATGTGGTAAATTGTACCATCATAACATATAAATCATCCTGCTTTTTGGACTTATTCACAAAGAAATACAAAACAGTGTCTGCTATATACAAGGAAGTTATACACACTGATAATTAGTAAGAAAAGTCAATAAATAAATAAATCATATGGCATTTGAATCTGTGGCTGTGTACTCTAATGAATGTACATGTTTAGTTTGAGCCAACCTGCTTTTATTTTTCATGTCCTTTTGTGTGCTGCTCTGACCTATAGACCTTCATAGTTCTTTGTGGCAACCATTAATTCTGCATTTAGCTGAAGTCCATTTGTGTATGTCAGAGCAGAAAACCAGAGAGAGAGATATTTTAATAGTTCTCTTTCAAGGGAACTTCGAACTGCGTCCTCTAGGGGTCGTTATGGATGGAGGAGGCCATTTTCCTCCTGTATCCATAGGTTCCAGCATACGAGTTATGCCAATATCGAGGGGATGCGCGAAAGCGGCTATGAGAAGATGCCCCCTGTAGAAGAGACGCTGGCTAGCTATCTCTCTATGGGTGAGACATCCTCTCTTAAGACTCCCTCCTTGCCATCTAAGCCTCTTCAGGATACATCTCACTTAAATGGCAGGGCATACGCAGCAGCAGGTCAGGCTGTCACTTCGTTGCAAACGATGGCGGTGCTTCAGGCGTATCAGGCTGATCTACTGAGGACCTGGACAGGAGGGCCTTTCTCCCGATGAGGTAGTTGCGCTGCACCCCAGATCTCGCTCTCCGTGCTACTAAGCAGGCCGCCTCTGCTATGGGCAGGTCCATGGCGGCTATGGTGGTAACGGAGAGACATCTGTGGGTGAACCTGGCAGATATCGGGAAGAAAGAGAGGGGCTTTCTTCTCGATGCTCTGGTTTCGCCTTCCGAACTTTTCGGTACCTCCGTCGAGACTCAGCGGCCTTCAAATCCTTCATTCCATGAAGATCCAGGTCTGAGCCCGAACAACCCAGGGGTCCTGGCCCGTCTCGGTCTGAGGATCAGAGACGGGCACAGAAGGCTAGTGTCGCGGCTCACGCGCCTGCGGGTAGGGGTAGGAGGAATCGCTGGTCAAAGGGAGGTAGGCAAGACCTAATTATACTGTATGCTCAGCTAAGCTGAATTTATTTAATTAAAAATACAGCAAAATCAGTAATATTATTACAGTTGAAAACGTCTCAGGTTACTTATGCAACCATGGTTCCCTGAGTAGGGAACGAGACACTGCGTCCTCTAGGTTTCTTGCCATGCTGCGGACGCAAGCTTCAGATGAAGAAGTGAATGATGTGTGCTCCCGGCGCTTATTTATACTATAGTCGCACCGGTAGTGACGTCATGGGCTGTCACTGGCCAACATGTTGTTGGTGTTTTTTGAATATATGCTTCAGACACGGGTCACGACGAGGCGTCCCCCATAGCGACCCCTAGAGGACGCAGTGTCTTGTTCCCTACTCAGGGAACCATGGTTACATAAGTAACCTGAGACGTTTCTGAGAATGTGGTGAAGCAGTGCTGATAGAACACCAACCTCAAACCATGTGCAGCATCTATTTAAGTGCACAGACATAGACATGGCTCACATCTAAAAGGACATGGTCAAAATATGGTTACTCAGAAATAATGCTGTACATCTAGTCAGTGAATATATTAAAATTTATTTTTCTTATTATCACCCATGGCATCATATAAATTACTTGTGATTCTATTACAACAACATATGTATTCATAAAGTAGGCTATTTGTATTTTAGTTGAATCTCAGGCTAAATTACAATACCAACAGTTGGTGAAGTTTCCAAATCCCCCTGCATTTATCCAGTGTCCTGATATGCTGCTGAATAATCTGTAAGGTGGAAAAACAGCACAGTGGACTGTAGAAAAACTTCCCAATGTTTCTCAAATTTCAAATAACTGTCATTATGGCTTTCCATTAGTCAGGGATGGGTAAATGGGTTTCTTATCATAAGCAATATCATGTTTCCACATTCAGTATAAATTAAATTGTGGGTTTGGTGGTATCAAGTTTGGCCACAAGAAGGAAGCAGAGTACATAGGGGAACCAACTTCTGCGTTTTTGTCCGATAAATAGCCCTGATAAGCAGCTTGAGAACATTACTCACAAATTCTGTATTCTAGATTGTGGTTTATAGTATTAGACCTTTAGATGCATACAGCTATAATAATAATACAATACAACATTTTAAAAAGGTGTTTTTGATGTTTTGTGCCATTGCTTTGGTAAAGCTGTCAATTACCTACATTCAAAATCTCCATATGGATCAGTGGCAGTGCACTTATCAAATTACAAAAGGTTGCTTCAGTATTTAATTGTTGAAGTTGAGCATAAAATGATAAAGTAGGCTGTAGCAAATCTCAGCTACTCAAATGCAATATATTTTTTGCTAAATCTAATCTACATTCTTAAAACAAATGTGTTAAAAACAGAGATCTTGAAATTCTGGAAGGGAGTGCAAACTTTGATAAGTAAAATAATTAATGTTACTATTCCCCTTGAACCAACATTTTTTATATTAAATTTATATCCTAATAGCCTTAAATTGAGAAGAAGAGAACATATTTTTGTTTATATGTGTACTTTACAAGCTAAACGTCTCATAGCTCTTTACTGGAAAAAGGTAGAGGCACCAAGTATAGGGAGATGGTTAAAGGAGTTGGCAACAAACATGTCATTGGAGAAAATAACATATATTATTAAGGGCGGATATAAGGCTTTTGAGGATGCTTGGAAACCCTTTATGATTTTCTTGGAAGGAGGAAATAATGGAGATGTATTTGATGGGATATTTGAAGACATATGAGAAAATAAATGTTGAAGTTGTCTTGTACTAGGAGGCCTTAAACTTTATTTTATTTTGTATATGTTTGTGTGTATATATATATATATGTATAAACTAGAACTGTGTAATTGGTATGTGTTTTTATTTATTAAATTTTTCTGGTTGATTATTTGTTTGTGAATGTATTTAAGTGTTTGTTATAAGTTTGTGTTTACATAGCATGTTAGTGTTGTTGAATTTTGTTATGTAAATATAAAAGCAATAAACATAGTTAAAAAAAGTGTTAAAAACAACACCTTATTTTCAACACGTTCTGAGTGTGCTCAGGGACAACACATATTTCACTTTAGTTAACACATTAATGTGATGTTTTTGGTACGTGTCCTACACAACTGTGTGTTACTGAGCAATTATTTTGAAGTTTCAAAATAAAAGATAATAGTCTGTTAACAATTTAAACACTTTTATTATGAAATCACACAAAGAACCATTGAAGCACATACTGTTTAACATGGAAATAATTATAATACTATGTGTTCATTTAACCATTTTATTACAGTATGCTGAATATAAAACTGTTAAACAAGAATATTAAAACTTCAGCACATTCCTCTTATAAAAACATTTATCAAATACCATAAAACTCATATATCCATTAAGCACTGTCAAATAGAACATTGTCTGCAAGTTCACAACATGTAAAATACCAACAAGTTCTCAAATTGTTCTCATGTACTCCAACATGTTTTTAAAAACAGAAATATACTTCTAAAAACATGAAAATATGTTCAAAACATAAAAATAACCATCACGCACATATAGTTCATGCAACAATCTAATGCATTCTGATCACCTAAAAACAATTAATTCAATCAAAAACCTGGTCAAAAGACAGACAGACAAAATCTCAATGATAGTTGACACAAATCGAAAGGAAGGGCAACATAATTATTCTTCGCCACAATTACGTACTGTGCTCCATGTCCAAGTGAACCAATGGAAACAAGCTGAGCTGACTTCAGGGACCCTTTCATGGACTCACGCAGTGAGGAGGTCATGCTGGTACCAGCCTACAAAAATGAAAAGTATCAGAAAATGTTTCCGCTTGAACAGCAACTTTGTTTATTAAAAGCAAACACATTAACAATTCATACCAGCACCAACTCCAAATTTGAGACAGCAGAATTGCCACAGCATTTACTGCCAGAAACACTTTTCCCAGATGCCGTTGGGTGGATGATGACCAAGTATCATCTTGACAAAGTAAAAACATAGGACACATGCAAAAGATCAATTTAAAATAAAATTCTATTTGAAATTATCAATTTTATATCATGAAATAATGTTAAAAAAACGAATACATTTCTAAATTACATTTAGAAATGTGTGCACATCACAGAGGCAGAAAATCGTTTCATCATGCTAACTGTCAGCTTTCTCTAATAAGTGACTGATGTCCATTTTCTTCCCCAAGAATGATATTTCTTTGGTCCATTCCCACCTCCTGATGAACAAGTCTTCTTTTACATCTGTAAGCTTGGAAAATTCAGTGTCCACCTTTGGTGCATAAAACAAAATAAAAGTAATATTAATATTACAAATATTTCTGGACAGTATTTTTAAATAGATACACTTTACAACTGTTAAACAACCATATACTTACATTCCATGTTTCTCTACAATTTCACTGACAGCGTCACTTTAACAAGCAACTTCATTAACAAGTTAGAGTGTCTCTCTTTATGTCCTCTAAGGATTTTAGGCCTTTTCCTCAAGCAGTGTCAGCAGGCAAGTTGTGGTGCCAGTCATGGGTTGCATCTATTGAATGACACTAAGAAATGACAAAAACCTGTTTTAAGTTTAAATGTTTACATTTAACGTTACTTTTATGAATATAAAAAGTGAAAGACATTAAAAGTTTAACGGCAATGACTGAGCACTTACTTCTGATGGATCCTGGGTGACATTGGCAATATATTTGGAATTTGTCCAGCCCCAGTACTCTGCATGAGCTGATCAATACTACAACACATCCAAACGTTTCCTCTGTGCAAACACTTTGTGTAAAATTAAGAATAACCATGATTTGGTCCTAGTCTTCCATTACCTAGATAAAAAAATAATAATAATTATAATTATTATGAGCACCATTTACACTATTATTGGCTTTATTGCGTTGCCAATATTTTAAATAGTTAGCTACTAGTCAAAATAGCACGTTGTTGCTAAGTTTTTAAGTAGTGCTAAAAGTCCCATAGCAATTGTTAGGTGATTGTTAGAGATTCAACTGTAGGGTGACCATATTTTAGTTTTCCAAAAAAGAGGACAGTTGGGGGCGGGGTTCGT